CCCCATAGATGAAAATTGGTATTATTTTCCTCGATCACTCAGATAGGATAATTTGATTAACATCCAAAAAAGAGTGTTATTAAATTCGTGCCTGCTCATATTCAAGAATTCAACGAAGAATTCTTACTAGTACTTTAGGAAAGCTAGACGAAAGAAGAAAAAAATTAATCGAGAATAGCTGACATAGGGATGGTTGGGTTAAATTTTGCTTATCTAAGCAAATACTATATAAGTTTATCACTTTGTTCTAGTTGTCATGAAAGTGCATTAAGATTGGAATAGACTTGAGCAACACAACGATTAAACATACACACAATTCTATGTCACAGGATTTTAGACAGATCACTTACAGCAGACAAACAAAAGATACAAAATGTCCTTAGTAGTTAGAAATACTACTGATACCACAGCCTTACATGCACATAAAAAAAAAAAAAAAGGATTTTGTTTTTTTGTGGGAGGGGGGACTGCAGCCTTGCAATAAACATTCTGGTTCCAGACAAAAAAGCTATAACATTATAAAAGTTTAGAGGTCTGTACAACCCACTTCAAGGGTTTGGAGAAACTGCGGCACCGAATGGTTTTTTGAAAAGCAATTTATTAATTAGAGTACAAGTTATACTCCTGCCGGTTACAAACAAACAAAAGCATATGACACAAGGCATAGGAAAGCAACAGTTAAAGAGCTATTGCATAACAATTGCATTGAATGAATGCTGAAGTTTCACCCACTTGCCTTGTGTTTCACCCTCTTGACTTATGAAAGCATCGTACACAATGCAGGTTCTTGCAGCCAGTCTGAGAAGGGAAATCCCCTGCAATCCTCTGACCATCAGAGCCACTGGTAAGATGGAGACTGGACCATGTCGAACATTTTGTCTTCATCAAGAGCTTTTAGTCTAAACGATGATTCATTTCTTGCCAGCCATAAAGTCCATGTTATAGAGAACCATATATATCGATTAGTAAATAAGACGAGCTATGCAATTTAGAACGTCGGCATGGTACGCAGTTTTGCCAGTTTATTCTTTTGGGCTTCAATAGCTTCCCTCACATGGACAAAGAAAACGAAAAATCATGATAGAGGAGGATATTTAATTAGAAAGGAATCACATAGGTTAAAAAAAATAGAGAGAAATCACAAGGGGCTTAAAAGAGTTAATGAACGTATGGACATAAGTTAATTACTTTCAATTGATTTTGCAACATACATATCAGAATTTAATTATAGCGGAAGCATAAAGTTACCTAAAAGCATGCTCAATGTCCTTGTTATCAAGAGTCATTGTCCAAGCCTTGTAGAAGGCATCAGCAGCTTCCAAAAATGCTGAGGTTATTTAAATGAAACTGAGATCATTGACAACAACTCAACAGAAGATGATAAAGTAAAAGAGAACAGTATGTATGAGAAAAAAAAAAAAAAGGGTGAAAGAGTTTTAACAATCAGAGCCCCACCCTGCCTATAGCATGCCTTAGGCCAGTCAGGCCATATGCAGCAGCAAAGTTCAGCCAATTCTAATGTAAGCCCTCCTTCATTCAAGCGGGGCCAACACAAGCTTTGGTTAGATACGACAGTTGCATCTCCATACTTGCAATATGATGCCTAAAATTATCATCCAAACACTAATCAACAAACCAAAATATAAAACTATAAACACTAATAATGTACGGAATATAAGTTTAAAAACGTAGTATCGTCCAACACTCATTTTAGAAGAAAATAAAATCGGAAAATAAAACACATCAGTATCATTTGTGATGTTGTTGATAGGACATAAAATTTGTCATATTGAATTTGCAGTAAAATTGAAAGAATCAACATTATTTTCTTTGAAAAATTGAAGAAAATAAAGGGTTAAAATCTTATTTTTACCTTTTTTTTTGTAATATTAATGTATATAAATATATAAAAAAAATATTTTACCATTTGAAACAATCCAAACTGTATTGGGCAAATCATTAAGATCCTCTAAAAAATATTAATCTTGAACTCCACAAGCTTCATTTAAAATTTTGATTGCCTAAAAAAGGGAAATCTGTAATACAACTATTGTATTGGGTTTGCAATATAATTAGACAATGATAATTTGATATGTAAGTAAAATATTGGTGTAAAAAGATTGACTTTTTTCTGACTCATTGAGACCAATGTAAACCACTATACAACCTACTGCTTTTAATATTGTCTCAAATTATTATTAGCCAATTATTCCACGTTCAAAACCTTCTTGCTATTACTATAACTCTTATTTTGTTTCTTGAACTTTATGTTTTCCTCTATTTTTGCCCCTTGAAATTTGATTTAAATTTTATGCTAATTTAGTTAACTTTTGTTTACTTTCATGTCAGAACTAGAGATTCTAACATATTAACAATCAAATAATAGTACCATAAAAAGGATTAATAGTTAAATAACTAGCCAAATAATCCCTCAATTTAAAAATCTTAATTTAAAATTAATGTAAGGAGTTCGAAGTTTTAAGCTTCTATATTGTTATTGTTAAGCATCTAACTTCCAATAAACCAGAAAAAAAAAAAACCATTCTTCCGATAAACCAGAAGAAAGAAAACCACCATAATTTCTGTCTTTACAATCCTAAAATGCATCCGGTTCTCTTCCACGGTGCTTATAGACCTTTTATTTATTTATTTATTTTTTTGGTGGGGGGGTAAAAATTTTGGATCAAATTGTCCCCGCACCCATATATAAGGTGTCAAAAAGGCAATTTAGCCCAAAATTATTTACAGAATCTTACAGCCCGTCCCTTTTCATCATGCTCTTCACAAAGTGCATTAAGATCGGGACAGACATTCTTCAAACCAAAGTCAAGGGTAGCAGACCAATTAGAACTGTAAGCAAATCTACATCGTAGGATGGTCAGATAACTGAATGCAGGGAAAAACAAAATGTGCTACGTAGTCAGAAATACTACGACTGCAGCCTGACTTAAGATCCGAATTCCACCCAAAAAACTATTAACATTATCAAAGTTTAGATGTCTAGCTATACAAAAGGTCAAGTTAAAACATTTGAAAAGCAAACATAAAATCAAGATAGGAGAGGACATTTAATTACAAAGAAATGAAAGGAGCCTTAGAAGAGTTCATTATTCGTATGGACATGAGTTACTCTCCTTTTATCTTGCTTTATACATATCAAATTTTAATTCTATGTATATCCACAAACTAATAATTGTAGCCGAAGCATAGTTCACAAGTTACCTAAATGCATGTTCAATTTTTTTGTTATCAAGAGCCATCTTCCAAGCGTTATAAAAAGCATCGGCAGCATTTCCAAAATCCTGAGATTATTTAAAATGAAACTCAGATCATAGACCAGAAATATCAAACTTAAAATGATAAAATCAAAGAGAACCTTCCAAATATTAGCTTACTTTCAACAACATCAGAGCTACACCCTGCCTATAGTATGCCTTTGGCCACTCAGGCCGTATTAAGCTGCAAAGTTGAACTATTTCTAATGCAAGGCCCCCTTCATTCAAGCGAGCCCAACACAAGCTTTGGTTGGATAGTACAGCTGCATCTTTTTTGCAATAGGATGCCTGCAATTATCATCAAAACACTAATCAACAAACCAAAATAAAAAACTATAAACATAAATAATGGACAGAATATAACTTCAAAGATATAGTATAAGCCAAAACTTATTTTAGAAGAAAACAAGACCAAGAAATCAAAAAATTATTATTAATTGAATGATTGTTGATAGGACATCTATTTGTAAAACTGAATTTGCAGAAACATAAAATATCAGAACTAAGCCATTGCCCATCCTGGTACAACTTTATTGCACCAAAATAATCCTCTCGGTTAAAGGCCTCTGTTCCATTTGATTTTGATAGAAAAAAATACTCCTCCAGCTTCTTTTGCCTCTGCAAGATATTTCAAACATATAAATACCAAAGTGTAACAGTAGCCATCACATCTATTATCGTCAAGGTGTTACGAAAAAAAAAAAATCTATTACCATCATGGGAAGTACATGTAACAATCAACTGAATTAACTAGAAGTTGCAGTTAAATATCATGTTATAACTCTCCTCCAGGTCTAACTCGCAGAAAATTTTTCACCCTCTGACACAAGTTTCCAATATAGCCTGCCTACTGACCCCAACCAAAAAAACAAAAAAACAAAAAAAGGATGACAGGATGAGGAATCTTGCAATACCTCCTCTTCAGCCTCATCAGAGTGAACATGCTCAGTTAATCCAACCACGCTCCAATCTGGAATAGTAGGAATGGGTTTGGTCACGGGAAATAGAATCATAACAGCCTGAAGATAACCTTTCAAGGCTGCAATTTCAACTGGTGTCATACCTGCCTGTAACACAAACGTGTTAAATTTTCATAAATCAAAACAGATGAACCAAAAAAAGCTCAGTGTTGGGCTGCATAAACTCACATTGTTAGTGAAATTGGGATCAGCTTCAGCATTCAATAGCATCTGTCCACCCCTGATAAGCCGCATCCCATAAAGGTGTTATAGCCTTTGTACTACAGAGATTTGGATCAGCTCCTCTCTATAAAAGAAAGCAACAAGGTAACATAACAAAATCATAAACTGCCGATATTTTGCTGAGCAATCCATCAAAAAAAAGGCTGATACCACATTAAGTAGACCTATTTTCAGGAAACAACAAGCATCAACATATGGATGTTAATCCAGAATTTCCTAAACCTCAACTTTCTTATTCCAAAACAAATAACATCACAGTGTCGAGAAAGTAGAACTAACACACACTAGTTAGTTTTGCTGTTATCCCATTTCATCTTGTTTTTTGAACCCAATCTCCATTCAGACAAAGGGAAAATTGCAAGATGAGGCAAAGGGTGATATGTTCTCAGGATTTATGTTTTCTGGTTTTTTGAGCTCTTATTAAGATTTTGGCTTATTGAATTCTGAGATCTAGTTTTGGTAATGAGCAGGAAGTTCCTATAACTCTGAGGAAGCAGAGGCTTCCTCTGCCTCTATCTTCCATGATTTTCCTGTTATTATTATTGATGCATATCCATATTTTACTGAGGAAAAAAATAAAAAGAAAGAAAATCCACTTGTTAGCAATCTTATCTACACAGAGACATATAAGATTATAAGATTTAAAGAAACACTATCCTCCTCCAACATGAATGTTCAACAATGGAAATCATGCACCCAAATAAAGTAATAACACAGACTAAAAAAATTAAATTTTATACCTTAAGCAGCAGCTTCATACAATCAAATTTTCCATCAAAGACAGACACCAGCAATGGGGTCATTAAATCATATGAAATTGCATTCACCTAGGAAAGGGAGAAAAGTAGAAATTAGCCAGAAAAATAATTATGCAAAACAGAAAGTAACAAAATCCAAGAGAGAAGAAACAATCAACAAGTTTTTCCGTTTTTCTTCCCTTGAGTACATCATGTATCTTTCAAGAAAGATTTGCATCACAGAGGAGAAAAAAAATTAATTCATGCAGTCCCTATGTTAATATAAAGATATAAAAAAAACCTAAGTGGAAAACTATAACTTGTCTTACATCAGCGTTGTTATCTAACAGAAACTCAACAAACTCCTTAGGGCCCTTACTAATTGCATGTTGCAATGGTGTGCCACAACCATAATTACCCATTGATTGATATCAGCACCTTTTGATAATAAGAGCTTCAGCAGCTCCTTGGGTCCTGCAACTATTCAACCAAATAGTGATACCCTACACTACAATTCCAAGAACCAAAGCAAATGGACGAGAGATAAAACTAGAATTTCCCCATCACAAATTGCAGCTCAATCAAGCAAGCAGCTCTAGAATTTGCCCAACATCATTACATGATTGTCCAAAGAACCAATTGCAAGTAGTAAGATTATTAATGGTTTTAATAGATAGAGGTGAAAGGGACTTGATGTTCCACAAACACCTCCAGTCTTTACGTGAGAAAAGTTAACCTATTTGAAAAGGTATGATTGCAAGAAAAACAACAGAATACATGTAAATCACAACAAGAAAAAACAGCTTAATCATTCTAATAGGGCTAGAACTCTAATTCTGAGTGACCACGTTATTTTATCAAATAATACAAGATTCAAGTCTCAACCTAGATAAAAATGTAGGGATCATTATATAGTTCAAATACCTTTTTCAACAGCATAATGCAAAGGAGTTCGCCACTCGATATTTTTTGCTTTTGGATTTGCTCCGTGCTCAAGCAAATATACAGCAGCGAGGAAATTCTCATTGCTAGCTGCATGGTGTAAAGGAGTCCGGCCAAGCCCATCCCTGACATCAATATCCAGCTTTACTTCTTCCAGAAGATACTCGCAAACCTGAAGTCTTCCTTTGGCAGCTGCAAAATGTAGAGCCGTTTGACCCTCTGCATCCTGTATATTCTCAATTTTCAGATCCAGCTTCCGAAACTCGTCGGTCAGCCCTACTCAAGCATATTCATAGTATAGAAATCAAGCTCTGTATCAAGCTACAGTAAAGAAACTCACATGAGTAAAGAAAAAGAGGCCATTACTCTTTAAGAGAGGCAGGTCTCCGGTGGAGGCAGCATAAAAAAAACGGGATTTCCGACCTTGACCTGCATAAATTCAATATTCGCGGCTCAGGTAAGTTCAATTAAGTCTCAGATCTAGAGTATTGTTAGCCTCAATGAGCTCAAAATGCGAAGAAAAACTGAACAGATAAGGAAACTATAACAGATAGAGAGATTAAAGAGAGGAAAGAAAGAGATGCTGAAGTAGTTAAAGAAAGAGACGCCATGGAATACCTGGAGACGCTGCCGTGGAAGAAGGAAACGCCATCGAAAAAGACTCGAGTCTTTCACAGAGCCTGACCTAGGGTTTACCAGGTATGCTAAATTGAGTAGAGAAGCAAGGCGGCCATGGTTTTTTATACCTGTACAACAGGTGGGATGATTATCTTGAGAAACAGCCAATTAAGAGGATAATGTCCGTTAATTACAGTTATGTTGCTTAGGGAGGGTTTAGATCGGGTGTAACGCTAGGCTCGTCCAAACTTGGGCTCCAAGAAGGCCATTAGATAAATAAGTAGTAATCTTGTATAATATATTTATTAAAAATTATTATTTTTTAATTTAAAATTAAAAATAAATAAATTTAAAGATATAATTATATATTTATAATTTAAATTATAAAATAAATTTTCATAAAGAAATAAAAAATATGTTTTTTCAGCTTACAAAATACTGACTATTGTAGTACCATTCTTTTTTTATTCATTGATTTATGAAGAATATCTTGATATTACACTTGGTTAGAAATCCGATGAAACTAATCATTAAAAAGGTACATTCAAAATGTTAAAAATATATATATATATCTTGATATTTTCATTTTTAGACTTTTTTTAATCTTGGATGAAAAATTAAGAATAATTTTCACTACATTTATTTAATTTTAATTTCTTCTTTTAGAGAAGACAATTGCGATTTCATTTTCAACTATACCTTTTTATCATAACTCATAGCATTAGTATTTAATAACAAAATGTACTGTCTATGAAAAACACTCATACTAGTGAAGTCTATAAGAGCACATAACAACCAGACATATATCCA